GCCCAAGAATTCCAACTCTTCGATCACTGCATGGCCGAAGCTCATTGCTACACGAAATGCTTTGAATACATCGGGTTGATACAGATTTTATATAAATGGAAGCAGTAGCAACCAAGTCATCCCTCAAAAGACAGGATAACCAGGTGATAGGTTGTCCAAGAACAACACTCTTTGTCCCATGCTCGTTTTTACAGCGTAACGCTTATGTACGCGAACTAGATAGTAAGCCTCTTAATTCAAGATTCACATTTGATCATCTTTACTCAGACAACTCGCGAACAGGCACATGTGGCGCAATAGAGGCCCACTCGTAAGGAATAGAGCAAATCTTCAATTATGGGAGATACTGGCCCGAATGTTGGGAGTGTGTGTATGTGGATGTGTAGATAGGGAAAAACTCAACAATAACAAACCTATCTCCTATCTCGAGAATGAGGAGAGAACAAGACAATCCACAAGTGAAAGATAAAGACCTGAACAATTATGTCAAAGCCAAAGCATTCTCAGTGCATAACAATAAATATAACTGCAAGTCGACTGCCACAATGTAGATAGCATCACGTCATTATCAATTCAGATCTGACCGTATAACAACACGAGAAAAAGCAGCAACCTACTCGTACCACTTCATGTCAAGAACTCTTTGTAAGAAACTGTACATATCGACAATCTCGGCAATCTGAATATATCGAGTGATAATCAAGGACTCTTATTGTTTTTAAAATTAACCGACCACTTTGGAAGTTGGCTTCCCAGCGCCGTGCCCAGCTTTTACCTCCACACGAACAAGAATAGGATTTGTTTGGAGTGAATGTAATTTGGCCTAAATATGCTATCTGCGACTATTTCATACAAGATCTCAATGAACGCCGTGCCTTTTCCATCAATGTTGCCGCATATTTGAGAGTGTGGCTAGGGACCACTCGGTCATCGTGGTCTGCAGTCATCATGAGGGTAGAAGGCCACTGGCCGTTTGAGGGAAATTTGATGTTGTGAAGAGGAGAGTACCTAGAGACACGAGATAATTAAAACATGAGAGCAAAGCAAACCAACTTGTAGATGTAGCTGAAATCTTTTTCCTCGTCAGGATTGCCATATTCCGGTACCCATGCACCGCCTACGGTGAATCTGTGAAATCGTAGCATATCCATAACGCTAAAAGACATCATTGTTTGTCTCAAACAGCAATTTGTGAGAATTCCATAGTCCCATTTGAAAAGACAAACCCAACGCGATTCAACACTGCACCATATAGATCAGGACGTTGCTGTGAGCATGCCGCTACCAGTAAACCTCCATTCGAACCACCATGAATTGCCAATCTAAAAGTTCATCGGATCTCTCTATCAAAGAGAGTTCAGGCTAGGTACTTTTTGGTACATGTGTATTTTTCATGGATAAGATATTCAGCAGCAGCAATGAAATCGTCAAACACGTTTTGTTTCTTTTCTTTCATTCCATTCATGTGCCAGTCTTCTCCGTATTCGCTATAAAAATGAACATACTGCTAACAGAAGACGAAGGGCGCTCAAACCCACCTTCCCCCGCGAAGATTGGCACAAGCAACAATCCCTTTAAAATGTTTAACAACAAGCAGACGGCTAATTGAAAAGTATGGCATATCAGCGATGTTGAATCCTGAAAAAAAAA